CCCTGAGTGGCACCCGTGCCCCTGGGAGGTGACAAGCAGCGGGCTGCTGTGACACCCTCCTCGCCCCCACTGCCCCCGGTGGATGTTTCCCCGTCACGCCCCGATGCCCGGGCAGCTCCTGTGTGGAGAAGAGCAGCCAGAGCTCCCTCGTTTCATTGATTTGGGGTTTCTGCCCCAAATTGAGGGTAGTGATGCCCTCAGCAAGCTCCAACCCCCTCACCAAATACAGCAGGAGCATCCCCTGGGATTGGCAACCGAGCGCCACCGATGGGGCCACGGTTTGGGCGTGGTAGCCCCCTTCTTCATCTCCTGGCACCCTTCTGGATCCCCAGGGAACTGGTGTGAACATGTTCTCTGTCACAGAGACAGCCTGATCAACAAACCCTCCTCCTGCTACTACAACAAACGGCGTCGGGTGAGGCGTGCATTATGAATGGGATGGATCAAACCCATGGAAGCGAACTTGGAAGGCATCCCTGGACGAAGTGCTGTGGAGCCAAGGAACAGACAGGAGGCTTTGCATTTGTCTGGAGACGTCCCACAGACCCACATCTACCCCGGGCAGCCACCAAAACACTCCCAGCAGCAGCACCGGGGCAGTTGAGTCCCCTGGAGAGATTATTGGGAGACACAGAGGAGCAGCCTCCTCCCAAAACAGTTCAGCAATCCCATGGAAGACAGCCCCGAGAGGTCCAGTGTCAGGTATATCTCCACCACCTCTTCTCCAGGGAGAAACTGCAGCCTAAGAACTGTATCTTAGAATCATTTAGCTTGGAAAAGACCTTTAAGATCACAGAATCCAACCTTTAATCCAGCACTGCCATGTCACCTCTCAGCCAGTTTGCCATGATGGTGATGAGGGATGCTGGCAGAGATCACTACCCACATGGTCCCAGCTGGAGAGCCCAGCGCCCTGGTGAGCTGCTCCACAGCAAAGGGTGCAGAATCCTTTCATGAGACACCTCAGTCCTGATTTTAGGGCCTAAATAGGAAGAGAGAGATCCCTGAAGAGCTCATCTGCAGCAGCCAAGGAGGCTGCAGCCCCAGAGCATAGCTCAGAGCAGCACCAGCAGCTTCCCTCCCCCTGACATAAAACCCAGGCAGGGGTCAAGCTAAAGAGGGGGTCAACCTTCCCCCTCCATTAGAGCCCATGGCACACAGTCATGGCCAGGGTCAAACCAGCTAGGGGGGGAAGGATGAGCCAGAGGACTGAAACCAATCCTAGAATGGTTTGGGAAGGGCCAATGGAATGGGAAGGGACCATTCAAGGTCACCTAGTCCAACCCCCTGCAGGGAGCAGGGACATCCCCAGCTAGAGCAGGGTGCTTAGAGCTTGGTCTAACCTCACCAGGGATGGGGCATCCATCACCTCTCTGGGCAACCTGGGCCAGGGGCTCCCCACCCTCAGTGAAACAGCCCCTGGAGAAGAGACCACCCGTGGCAGCCAGAGCATCTCCCTAGCAAGAGAACAACAGAGTCCCTGTCCAACCTGGGCAGTTGCTCTGTGCAGTGTGACCACCTAATTTACAGAGCCAGGAGGTCACAGCCAGTCCCTGACATCCTCACCTTGGGATTCCCCCGAGCTGCAGCCTCGCAGGGTCAAGTGGCTTCCCAGACAAAGCTGAATTCTTCAGCTCCTCACAGCTCTGCTGGGGTGAGGAGCCCTCTGGTGCCTCGCTGCCAGCTGGAGTGGGCTGATGCTGAGGCAGCCAGCTGTGGCCAGATGTGTGCCCAGCTCCAGGCTGGGCTGCCAACACGGCCCTGGAGTGCTCACGCCATGGCTTGTACTGGCAGGTTCAGGGAAGAGAGAACTACTGGTGGTCCCAAAGAAATGATGTCTCACTTGGAAAGTCCCCTGCTGAAGGCAGGTTGGGCTGGGACAGTGTTTAAGAGAAGTCTCTCACCTACAGGTAGCAAGAAGCTTGGGCCAGACTCTTGTCAGTGGGACCAAATGACAGGACAAGGGGCAATGGGCACGAACTGGAACCCAAGAAGAGAAATTTCTTTGGTGTGAGGGTGGCAGAGGCTGGAGCAGCTGCCCAGAGAGGCTGTGGAGTCTCCTGCTCTGGAGAGATTCCAAACCCACCTGGATGTGACCCTGGGCACCCTGCTGTGGGTGAGCTGCTGGAGCAGAGGGGTTGGATGAGATGATCTCCAGAGGTCACTTCCAACCCCACCACGTGGGGCACTCACAAGAGCAACACTCTTGCTCCACATCAATCCAGAGTGTACCAGGTGCTGTCGTGTTGATCCCACAAGAGAAAAGGGGAAGAGGCATTTTCCTTTTTAAAAGCTTAGGTATCCATGGTCACAGGGATGGGATACTGTGGAGAACTTGGCTGCCAGACCACATCCGTGCCTCAAAGACAGGGACAGGGAGGTCCTTTGGTTTCAGGGTGGACATGATGCACTGGCTTATACCTGTGGTGAGCCCATTGGAGCTCACCCAGCAGCACATAGGAAACCCACTGCACTTGAAAGAAAGGCACCAGAAATAGTTGCACCCCAAAAGATGGAGTGAAATGGGACCCACAAACCATGATCAGTGCTGCTGATAAGACTAACAGACCCTGGACCAGAAAGCATAGGAGAGAGAGGTGAGCAGGGGACTCAAGAACATCCAAAGTGCCATGTGCCAGGGTAGGGGGAAGCCACCCAGGTCCCATAATGGCAATGCAGGGCATGGGGAATGCTGCAGAGATATCTGCTCCTCCCCACCAACAGATGTGCCTCTGCACTGCTGGCAGAACTCCTCTCCTCCCACAAGGTAACCAGCCTTGGTGTCAAGCCCCATGAAACCTCATCTCCCTGCTTGAAGGGCCACGCTCAGCACTTGGCTGCTGTGCACAGGGTGTGGCCACTCTTCCCACAGGGTCACCAGCCCAAAAACAAACGTGGAAGCAGACAGAAAACCAGGATGCAGCTCAAGGACAAGGCCACCAGTACAGAAATGATGCAGAAGCACAAGAGATCTCAAAAAAACTATCATCTTGGGGGATTTTTTTTTGTTTTGCATCAATTTTGTCCCCACAGGTCCCCAGCAGTGAGGGTCACTGAGTGCGTGGGTGCTGATCCTGCGAGGACCAAATGCTGCTAAAACCTCCCCACTGGGATCAACTGGCTGGTGCCACCAAGCCCCTCATCTAGCCCAGAAAACAAACACTCACAGCAGCCCAGAAAGTTGGAGGGCCAAGGGAAAGGAGAAGAGACACCTCCCCAGCAGCATCAGTCACTTGATAGCCCATCACTTCTCATCTCATCAGGCTCCTGCGATGCCACGTTGCATCAGGTTGTCACACCATGGGCTGTAATCCAAGGCTGATGCATGAGAAAACCTAATGCAAGCAGACACCATGGGGGGCTGCCAAGAACAGGTTTGGTTCCTTGGTTTCGGGTCTGCTGCGAGTTGAACTTGGCCAATGCCACGGGAGGAAGAGCAATGGAAAAATACCCCTTGCTCCAGGCAAATCTGCTGCTGCGCCAGCGAGTCGGGTGGTTGGAGAACTCTAGAAATAACATCACCTGTCTGCAGAGCTCCTGCCAGGTCTCCCTGTCTCCAAAGCCAAAGAAACAGGGAAAAAAATGATGCCAGAAATGGTTTGATGACCCTTCGACAATCCTAAACGGCAGCTGATTGGTGCAAAAAAAAAGAGAAAGAAAGGAAGGAATCGTTAGGTCTTTGCCTTGCAGAAGGCTGGGAGAGGCGTGGCTGAGGGGTGAAGGATCTGCCCCATCACACCAGCACCCACTGCCCACAAACTAGTGTTTGGGGTGGCCACTGAAGCCATCCCAGTGCTGCTTCCCACCTTGGTGAGAAGCACGGCGAGGAGGAAAACCTGCTGGTGTTGAGGGGCTGGATAGGCAAAAGGGGGTGTTGCCTGTAAACCCCTTCTTTAGCCAAGAGCTGAGCAGCAAGAGCAACTGGAAGAACCCAAAACGAGTCAGAAAGATCACATGCTGGGAAAGTAAACATGGGAGAAGTCTGAGGAGGAGAAGGTGGCAGAAAACCAACCTGGATGTGGAGTTGGAAGAAGTTTTTAGCTGAGCAAGAAGCAGCAAGGGGAGCTTGTCCTCCCCACGGCAGCTCTTGGCACACAAACTGCTCTCAGCAGCTGCCACACGTTTTCTGGGAGGGTTTTGTTTAGTCTGATTGTCACTCCTGGCTTGTAAAAGCTTCAATTGCTGCAGAATTCATCGGAGCACCAGTCCAAGACTGGAAAATATGGGTCAGGTTGTTTCTCCCCAGCCAGCAGCAACATCCTGGGTGAGCTCATCAACCAAACCCACCCGTCGAATCCCCCTCCACCAGCACCTCCTGGAAGAGGGCAAACCACCCTACAGGCAGGGTCAGGGCTGGCTGCTGGGCTCAAGATCTGTGGGGTTTGCACCAGACCTGTCCACATCTCAGCCAGCTTCACCCCAGACCCCTCAATGGCTCAAAGTCCTGCAAGCAGGAGAGGTCTGAAAAGCACAACAGTAAAACCATGGCTGGATTTTCAAAGGAGACCTTGGGAAAGTGACTCTGTGGTGACATCCAGCCAGTGTCACCAAGCCAGGCAGCACAGAAAGGCTTGTGGCTTTTCCAAATGAGAGCAGCCACCCTCCCCTGCCTGTGTGACTGGGACTGGGGAGCACATCTGTCTGCAGAACTCAATATTCAGCATGAGAGTGATCTTGTACAGATACACAGAATCCTTTGGGTTGGAAAAGACCTTTCAGAGCATCCAGTCCAACTGTGCCCCCAGCACCGCCAGGTCCCCACTGCCCCGTGTCCCTCACCCCACATCTCCACGGCTTGGGAACCCCTCCAGGGGTGGGGCATCCACCACTGACA